GCTTCGCTCTTTTTGAAATAGCCGGTCCTGGAGAAGCCGCTCTCCGTTTATGAACGGAGGTTTTTGCGGTGGCTGAGGCATTGAGTCAGGCTGCAGTTCCTTGCCAAATGTCATCATACAGACCTTTATCTCCTGCTCCCTCCGGGCCCTCGATGTAAGCTTGCAACAGTGGGTGTACTTTTGAGGGATGTGTGATTTGCCCAGGCACCTAATACAAGTGTCATAGCCGCCAGCCACTGGCATGGCTTCCCGGCAAACTGAACATTTTTTAAAACTGGGGGACTCCGGCATTGTTAGGAGCTGGTGAGGGTGGCTGGATGCCGACCCTGCTTGATCCCCGTCTTTCGCTCCTTGTCAGTTTCAGTTCTTTAGCGCTTAGCCGTAGCGCTTTCAAGAAATTGATTTTGAAGAAAAAAAACTTTTTTTTTTAAACAGAAGATCAGTAGAAACAGGAACACGACTAACACTAACTTTTAACTATTTACAGATGAAGAAAACTAACTAAGATCATTTTTGAGAGAAGAGATAGGAGAACATAGGGAGCTCCGACCGTGACCTGAGGCGGTTGAGAGGAACTGACAGTTGCCAGTCCGCGCGTGATCAAAGTCATGAACAACATTTTGGAGATGCTGTGCATGTACAATCTGGCGGACCATGGCTATGAGAATTCTCCAAGCCACGGTGCTGGGCCGGGACCCGACACCTAGAGTGGAGCACCCACGGGGCCACTCGAAGAACTACTGAGGAGTAGGAGGTGGGGCTGGTGCATGTGAGATGCCTGCAGCCTAACAGCGTGTGCCTGCTGGTGCGCACCTGCACAGCCCCAGGGACACTGCTATGAAATCTCCACTCTGAGGCTTGGCAGTGGCGCACTGACCTAATGTGGAGCACCAACTGGGACATCTCTCTCGAAAAAGGAAGTGTTACAGTTTCTTGGTTTCACTGGGTACTACAGAAGATACATCAAAGACTAGTCCAAATTGGCAGCCCCATTATTCAGACTAATTGGAGGGGGCACCCAGCCCAGAAGGGGAAATCAGAGGGGTTCTACTAAGATACCCAGTTTTGTTGGGACAGAGGAATGTGACCAGGCTTTTACAGAGTTGAAGACAAAGCTAATAACTGCACCAATATTAGGTTATGCTGATTACAGCTTTCCATTCATGCTCTAGACAAATGCATCTATGGAGTGGCTAGGAGTTGTACTGGCACAGGTTCAGTTAGGAAAGGAGAGGGTTATAGCTTATGCCAGCAAGCACTTAACTGCCTCAGAAAAAAAATTATCCTGCCCGTAAACTGGAGTTTTTGTCATTAAAATGGGTAGCTGGAGATAAATTTAGAGACTATCTTCTAGGACCACATTTCTCAAACTGTGGGTCCCAACCCCCCGGGGGATCGCAAGCAACTTAGAGGGGGGTCGCGGTATCATAAAGTTTGAGAACCCCTGTTCTAGGTCACCAATTCACAGTGCTAACTGACAACAATCCACTGACCTATGTTACTACTACTGCTAAGTTAGATATAACCAGTCAAAGGTGAATGGCAAAGCTGGCAGAGTTCAACTTCGATAAAGTACTGGCCTGGGAAAAGTAATGCCAATGCTGATGACCTGTCTCAGCTACCCAGAGAGGAGGTGGCTACCGTTCTGAATGCTGGATGCAATGTCTTCTGTAGCCAACCCACAGTGATGGCCAAAGGATAGCAACAGAGCTGAGCCACTCCATTGGCCACCCATCGAGTTAATCCCAGGCCTGCCTAAGGAAGAATTGAGGATGCTGCAGGAAAAGGATGCAGTAATCTCTCAAGTAAGGTCCTACCTGCCCAGACAGCAAACACCCAGTGCCTGGGAGAAGCAGAAGGAAGTAACACCAGTAAAGTTATTACTGAACCAATAGAAGCGACTGCAAGTGGTAGAAGGGATCATTTACAGGAGAACAACAATCCCAGGAGAGGGACAGATCCAACACATTGTGCTACCAGAGAAACTCCAGAGAGAAGTGTTTGAAGATCTATCTGCACACAGACATGGGACACATGGACATTGACCATACAGTGGACCTCATCCACACTCGCTGTTATTGGCCACGCATGCAGTCCACCATACAGAAGTGGTGCCTCTCCTACAAAAGGTGCTGACTAAGAAAAAGAAACATCTCTAAAAGCAGAGCTCCACTAACCTCAATCCATACCAGTAGGCCCCTGGAGCTAGCATGTATTGACTTTCTTACCCTGGAACCATCCAGGGGGAGGGGTACAGAGAATATCCTTGTAGTTACTGACCACTTCAGTCACTATGCTCAAGCGTACCCTGCTTGTGAACAGCGGGCATCTACCGTGGCCAAGGTGATGTGGAAACAGTTCATCCAGACTGTTTCCACAGACATTAACCTCCCCCCCTCATCCCCTCTCTGTTCTGAAATTTGATTTGTCCTTTTTATGTGTGTTCACTTTTTTTTTATTGTATCCCTTTCGTATATATGATCACGCCAATTTTCTTCCACAATTTTATCTGAGGAAGTGGGTCTGGCCCACGAAAGCTCATCACCTAATAAACCATCTTGTTAGTCTTTAAAGTGCTGCATAGTCCTGTCTTTTGTTTCAGCTAGACCAGACTAACACGGCTATATCTCTATTATTACATCTACAACTATGGCATTCTCAAAAGGATACATACAGACCAGGGGAGGAATTTTGAAAGCAATCTCCTCGTCCAGCTCTGGAAACTGTTGGGGATCTCAAAAAGCAGAGCCTATCACCTGCAGGGGAATGGGACTACTGAGCAGTTCAACCAAACACTCATGAATATGCTGGGAACTCTGTGTCCAGAGCAAAAGGCAAATTGGAAGGACTCTGTTGAGTCCATGACTCACACCTACAATTGCATTAGTCGTGAGTCCACTGGGTTTTCCCCATTCTTCCTAATGTTTGGCTGGCACCCAAAGATGAAGATAGATCTGGTTCTGGGTCTCCCCCACCGAGGAAATGAGGGGATAGAGGTGGAAGAGTAAGTCTCCCAGCTCAGAGAATGCCTAGAAACAGCGTACCATCAGGCTGCACGGGCATCTGAAGCTACCAAACTTCACCAGAACAAGTACTATGGCCACCAGACACAAGAAGTCCCATTGATTTCCTGGAGACATGGTGCTAGTAGCCAGGGAAAAGAAAGGGACACCGATACTGGGAGACAGATGGGAACTAACTCTCTATATTATGATTAGAAGACAAGGGGACTTGCCTATCTATGTAGTACGGCCAGAATCAGGAGGGGTGGAATAGGTGATACACCTTAACCAAATTACGCCATGCATGTGTCTACCAATCAGTGGAGTCAGTCAACCAGTAGGCAGGGAAGCAGACATGCAGGGAGCCATGCCAGAACTTGAGGGAAGCCTCCCGTTGGAGGATTAAACTTACTGGCGGCCCTATAGATAAGCCAGGTGGCTACAGGGAAAAGAAAACCCATAGGAGGATGACACACACAGGGGATACCTCGGACATGGGGGACAGGCAGAACAATGAAGAGGAGCCATGGTTACACTGCAGTGAGTCCTCAGACCCAGACCATTTTGACTCAGACTCTTGGCACTCTGACCTGAATGAGCCTGACCAGACCATGGGAGCAACAGAAGAGGCCGACCAAACCGAGGAGAGTCTGAATGAACCGAATTGGATTGGAGAAGGGCAGACTGAGTGGGTCCAGACCAAAGAGGTGCCTAGAGATAATGCACCAATTCCACGGTGATCAACCAGACAGTGCAGGGCACCTGTACAGCTCAATATGGAAAAGAGGGCTGCCTGATGAAGAAGAGCAGAGACTGGGGGTTTTGGCCACAGCTACTGTGGGACATGCAGCATGAAGCTGAGAGGTTTTTGACTAAGGAAAAGGACGAGGTCACCCTTTCAATACATGGGGGAAGGGTGTAGCCCAAGGTCCAGTGTGCTTCAACACCAGCCCTGAGAACTACAAGTTGTGGACTACAAACTGCGGCATGTTGGGAGAACTTCCTGGTTCCTGCCAGGATGTACCCTCTGCCCCCAGCAGGGTCTGAGCTAGAAGCAGCATGCAAGCTGCACGCAGAGAGGATGGGCTGCTGAACTGAAATCCTGTTCTCTGTGTTTGGTTTTGTTTTTTGTTGTTTTTTTTCCCCACAGAATAAAGCCTATTCCTGGTGGTTTCTCTGAGTGGATCTGGTCTGTGGTGCACACACATAATAACACAACGCAGAGCACACCAAGGGGCCTCAGGCCCAGCCTCCTACAGTTGTGTAAGAAGTCATAAGGATTCCAGTCTGCTGAATAACCTCACACTGGGCTAGTGAACAGGAGGGGTTACACATATAAAGATTTAGAATTGGGGGAAAGGGGGAAAGAAAATCTTTCCTCATGAATTAGAATTTAATAAAACAAAACAAGGAGAACAATGTGTGATTAGTAACCCTCAGATTATTCTATTTGAGAGAAATCAGACAACCAGGATTTGAGAAAAAAAAGGACTATGTAGCACTTCAAAGACTAACAAGATGGTTTATTAGATGATCAGCTTTCGTGGCCTATGCCACGAAAGCTGTTTCAGCTACACCAGACTAACACGGCTACATTTCTATCAGAATTTGAGAAGGATTGGTTGTACGCCCCTAACCGTTAATGCTGACACACAGACTGCAATGATCCTCTTCTAAACTACATTCAATTGTTCAACAGAGCATGTGATATATCATACAAATTTAAGAGTAGATGTGGGAAGGCAGTTTTATAAAGAAGAAATACGGTTTTATCTTAGTGATATAAGCATGCAACATACTCCCATGCTCTCTGTGCAGTATGCTGTGAGACGTCACCAGCAAAGCACATAATGGGATGTCACATCAAGGAGAAGCCACACAGATTTAAAACAATAATATTTGAGAATTTGGTTTACATTTACTGCACATGAAAATGAAATACAAAGTTGCATGTTTATATAATTCTGTGTTAAAAACTATATAAATCTTTATCTTTACCTTCAAAACACGAAGAAGTCTAATAAGGCGAATAACTCGGAATATCCTGACAATCTTAATCATATGGTCTGTTCGGTGAAGTGGCTTAAAAACATTAATAATCATGATATCTATCAGTGCAATTATTATGATCACTAGGTCAAAACAATTCCAATGATGAAAGATGTACGTCCTCCCCATGGCCACAACCTGTTATTCAGAAGAAACAAAGTATTTAGATTCATCCCATCATTTGCATTATAAAAACAAAAAAATACATTGAGCTTTTACTCAAATCTGGAAACAATTATAATACATTTTTCAACACTACCCCAGATTTGACAAATCTACTCATCCCTCTATTCACAGAGCACAACACATCCCTACTATTGGTCTTAACAACCAACTTACGCAAAATTAAAATCTTTAAAATAAAAACAAATATTTTATTTCTAGCTTTTCTGTTCTCAAAGGTAATTTTTGAAAGGTAAATATTACCTTTCCGCAACTGCACATACGCAACTTGAAACACATATGTAAACTGTGTAAGACTTAAATTCTGGCTTCAGAACACAGCAGGAGTAGCTGAGTTATGCATGGGCCACTCACTTCATAGGTGATTACTGGGGGAACATAACCTTCCCCCTACCTAGGACACTTCTTTTTCTTATTGGACTAATGAATGTTTATAGAAATAATTCAAGCAGAACACCTCCAACAGGAGAGATTTGGAAAGAGAGACAAACTGATTCAGGATGTGGGAGATGTGTGTTCACATTACTCCTCCAATTTAGGCAGAGCATGAACCTAGCTCTGCCATGTTGCTTGCACCCTACAAGGGGGCCATAGTCAATGGACTGTTACTCTGAGGTATATTTCTCTAATTTTTTTGGTAAAAAATATCAAAAGCGCTTAAAAACTTAAGACTTTCCAAACAACCACATTCCACTCCATTTTTAAAATGGATAATTATTTATTGAAAATATGAAATTTATTCACTTGTAATTGGAGTTTTTCAAAATGGACTCTGCACATTCACTCTCTTGAGATGTCAGTGGTACAGCTATGACAGTGGAATATTTAATCATAGCAGTGCCCATTGGAGTGCTCTTGCACCTACTCCTGTTCTCCCCTCTCCCAGTTTTCTTAAATATTCTGAGGACAAGGCTATTAAAGAGCACTTTGATGCTACTTGTCACCAGTGGAAGCATCTGCCCATTGGGAACATTTTACAAGATTCAATTTACGGGCCCTTACTTGTGTGGAAGATGCCATTTTACCCTACAATATGGTGTCCTCCACACAGGTGGGGGGATTGGATCCTTCTGCACTGAAGGGTTTGATACGACACCAGAAGTGGAGGACAGTGCCTTGTGAAGAGTTTTAGTTTGTTGCTTGCCCTCCACAGGTGGATACAATCTGATTGTACTCTCAAATCATGTAGGGGATTTGAATCCAGTGGGTTTATTGCCAGGGCCTCCTGAAGCAGTGTAGCTTGGAACCTCTTTAGGCATTCTTTATAAGATCGTTAGGTGCTGCAGCTAGATGAGAGATAAGATGAAGAAAAATGCCCTGTTCCCAGGCAAGCCACATGCCTCATCTAAGATCTGAAATGGAGAATAGAGCAGGACAACAGGCATACATCATATATCAATAAGGATAAATGCAAAGTACTCTACTTAGGGAGGAACAATCAGTTTCACACATACAAAATATTAAGTGACTGTCTAGAAGAAGTACCGTAGAAAGGGATCTAAGGGTCATAGCAGACCACAAGCTAAATATGAGTCAACAGTGTGACATTATTGGGGGGAAAAAAAAAAGCCCAACCAAAAACCCAACCAACCAACCAAAAAGCAATCCCTCTCCCCCGCCCCCACCAGCTTCCTAGGATGAATTAAGAGGAGTGTGGTAAGCAAGACATGAAGTAATTCTTCTTCTCTACTCTGCTCTGATTAGGCCTCATTTCAAGTATTGTGGTAACCATACTTCAGGAAAGATGTGGAGAAACTGGAGAAGGTCCAGAGAAGAGCAACAAAAATAATTACAGGACTAGAAAAAATGACCTATGAAGGAAGACTGAAAGAACTGGGTTTGTTTATTTTGAAAAAGAGAAGACAGAGGGGACAAGACAGCTTTCAGTACCCAAAAGAGTGTTACAAGGAGGAGGGAGAAGAAATATTCTCCTTATCCTCTGATGATGGGGCAAGAAGCAATGGGCACAGAGTGCAGCAAAGGAGATTTAGGCTGGACGCTAGGAAAACCGTCCTGTCACAGTGGTTGAACACTGGAATAAACTGCCTATAGAGGTTGTGGAATCTCCATAATTGGAGATATTTAAGAGCAGGTTAGATAAAAAGATCTAGATGGTGCTTGGTCCTGCTGTGAGTGCAGGAGACTGCACTTCACCTCTAGAAGTCCCTTCCAATTCTAATATTCTATAATTCTATCTTGAAATCTGGTCTTTTTCCCTTTAGCTCCATACCACAAGATGCAAGTGCCAAAATGTAGGTTAAGAACTCCAAAACTAATGGAAAATAAACAAAATAACTCTATAAAATAAAATAAAAGTACTGACATGTCTGAAGTGCTACCTCCCTTTTATAGCCTGGTTCTCAGAATGATTAGGAACAGGATGGGACCTGAGAACACTGCTACAGGCACTACTGTGTAATGTTCCATTATCAGAACTCCATCACCAGCACACTCCAAACATGAAACCTTGCAGGGGCCACTTGAAGATCCTGTCTGATTTAAAAACTCAGTGTTCAGATACTATTATGTAGAGCTGGAATAAAAATTGCCCCCTTCTGTACCACTAGGGCTCTTATTAACATAGGAATGATGATGCATAAGAAGTAACATAGTAATTTCATTACTCAGAGATATAGAGTACAGGCAGTCCCCGAGTTACGCGGATCCGACTTATGTCGGATCTGCACTTACGAACGGGGCTCTCTCGCCCCAGAGCTCGCAGGCAGCGGGACCGCCCAGAGCGCAGCGGTCCCGCCACCTCGACCTCCGGGGCGAGAAAAGCTGCTCCAGGTGCCCCTGGTGTGCTGGGGACCGTCTCCAGCAGACCAGGGACACCTGGAGCAAAGCCGGGGAGGCAGAGGGGTCCCGCGCCTCTGAGGCTTTGCTCTGGCCAAGCCTCAGAGGCGCGGGGATCCGCCCGCGCAGCC